GAGTGTAAATGGGTGCATTCAGGACAAAGCAATGACTTATATTTCTTGTTCTGCTGTTTTTTTCTCCTAAGATCTTGTTTCCCTCCTTACATTAAGTGTACAGTTGACACAGCCAGTACTTCCAGCCTCGTAATTGTTTGCCCATTGTTCTGTCCCCTGTTTTTACACAGCATATTGACTAAATCAAACTTGAAACTGTTACAGATGTGGGAGAGAGGACTCACTCCTGTCCCAGTGTGGAGGCAAAGGGAATTAGTATATTTCCCTTTTTCCTTCCACTATTAGTAATGGATCATTACTGCTTCCCCACATTCCCACATTAACAAACTTTACCTAAGGGTTTCACCAGATGATCCCCTTCTTTTCCACAGGTTCACCAGGCTGCTTGAGCGGCTTGCAGCTGAAGATGACTTTCCATCCCCTACGTGCATGCGGACCACAGTTGATGTAGTGAATGCACTGCGTACGTTCCTTTCAGGCTTAGCAAGGATGATATAGACCTTGGGCACAAACATACATCCGAGGGCCACCGTGGCACTCAGACTCACTGAGAAACACATGGTGATTATCTTGTAGTTGCTTCCAAAATATATTGGCACAAAAGCCAGCCAAATGATGCAAGTGGTATACATTGTAAAAGCAATATACTTCGCTTCATTGAAATTAGCTGGGACGTTTCTTGTCTTAAATGCATAAAAGGTGCAACTCAAAATTAATAAACCATTATATCCAAGGGGAGTTACAACACCCAAGTTGGTGGTGTTACAAATCAGGTAGACCTCTCGGATGCTTGGGTAATCATGCATTATATCTGGTGGCTCCATTATAAAGAGGGCAACAATTATGCCTAATTGTATACATATCAAGATAAATGCAATAACCAGTTGGGCACAGGCACTCATGAACCTAGGTTTCTTTGTACAAATTTTCTTCTTGCTGCCAGCCAGGATTCTTGCAATGCGGTTGGTTTTAGTTACTAAAGCAGAATAACTCATAGCTGGGGAGAGGCCGATGCCAATTCGTTGAAGATAACAGTAAATCTGTTGAGGTTTTGCGATGAGACAGAAAGTGCACAAGTAACCCAGGCAGATGCCGGCTAGAATGATGTAGCAAAGTTCTCGGCTGGATGATTTGACCACTGGAGTATCACGGTACATTATGAATATAGCTGTAACAAACAAGGTGGCCAGCAGACCCAGACATGCAAAAACAACTGCTGCAATTGGTTCAGGATCACCCCATCTGAGATACTGGACTGGGATGAGGTCACAACCTACAGAAAAAGAAAAAAAGAAGGTAAGCTGAAGTATGTAGGAGTGAGATTCTTTAATGATGTAGTTACAGATTTTCCTGATATTTCTCTTCTTCTTCAGAAAGGTGCTATTATAATGAGTATAGGCTAAGATTATGCTAATATAACAGCACAATAAATACTTTTCAATGACAGCTTATTTCAGCAATAGTTTATCTGGAGTATAACATGATGACTGAAAAAATGGCTAAGCTGATTAAGATAAGTCACCTTTCTTCACAGTGGAATTTTCCTTTTAAATTATTTTAAATATAGTAATTTATGAACACATATCAGAATCAAGTTGCATTAACTCAGTGCAAAGTGCTTCAGAGTTTTCTGTGTACTATACGTACTTAAAGGACCAGATGTCAATCCTACTAATTATATTGTACATTATGAAGGATATTGGTACTTGCTTAATTATTATGGAGAAGAATCTTACAGATTCTAGCTGTCAAGAAAAAGAAAGTGCTTTTTTTCTCAAATATGCTACCTTTTTTCTAGCAAAAATTTTCTAGGATCAGAGTTGCAGATAATAGGTAATTTAAGATGGCACACCCTGCTCACTTCTTTACCTGTCATTCATCCTTTTGAGACTTCTGAGGAATTAAAACTTCATCTAACTTGTGAAATCAAACTGAATTCAATGAATTAGTGTCAAAGCTGAATTAGCAGTGCAACCCATCTAAAGACACTTGTTTTTCAGGCTAGGTATAGGTTTTAATAAGTCATTCTATGTACATGTCATAGGAAGTCAAAGAAGCTTTTCATTCCACAGTGTGCAGGTCAATGGACAGGAGTAAAAGCTGGCAGAAAACTTGTTGCTGGCATCCCTCCTCCATCTCTCTTCTTTTTTGCACTGTAAAGCCTGGATAGAAACAAGGGGAGAGGACCCTGGCGCTCTAGAATACAAATTCCTGACAGTAGTAGACACGCTGGCACTGCCAGCCAGTGCAGGACTGCTGGAAGGAGATGATGGAGTGGAGGAAATGCAACTAAAAGCTTTTATTTCCCCCATACTTGTATTAAGCTTGACTAACCTTGATTGCAAAATCTAAATTACCTCAGAATTTAGGATTGTTGTAATCAGGTAGCTGTCTTCTGGTTAGGTCAGACAGAAGGGTGTCAGCCTGACTTGGGGTGGGTGGTGGCAAGGCACATCACCCGGTGGGGATGAAGCACTGGGTGCTCACATCTGTATTTTCAGCAGTGAGGGTAATTATCACTGCCTGATGGGCATCTGGATGCCAAGCAATCCCAATTAATTAGGCAACCTGGGTCCTCAATGACTTGATGAACAGGAGTAAATGTCGATAGCAGGACTATATTTTGGGAATTTCTACATGCAAGATCTACTCTTTGCCTTTTCCTTTATTTTAAGTGGAGCTTAATTTTTTTCCAAATCTGCCACTGACATTTTTAGTAGTAAAAATAATTTCATAAAATGGTATGGGTAGATATTAAGCTTAGCTCCTGTCTTCTCCCAGTATTTCTGTGTTCTATAGAATCATAGAATCATAGAGTCGTTCAGGTTGGAAAAGACCTTTAAGATCACCCAGTCCAACCATTGACCTAGCACTACCATTCTATATCTCTACACAATTACTATGATCAAAAATATAATACCTAAAATAAGGTGGGATACTCAGTAAATTGTGTGGCAAAAATACAAGGCAGATAGCTCTGTATTCTTGCAGAAAAATTGGAAGGACCCTAAGGTCAACAAGTCTTTGACATTAGTGCAGTTAAAGGATACAAATTTGCAGTCACTCCAGTGTAACAGAATCGTGCTCTTGGTTACTAAATGCAGATTAATTTGCCATCAATATTTTAACTGCTTTGATGTACAAAGCTTTCTGTTGCAATAATACAATTATTACCACGTCCTAATGTAACAAAGACATTTAGATTTTTATGGAACACTCTCACAGCATTAGTTGATGATACCTATTTGACTCTTGTCAGTTTTAAAGGGTTTACTTACTCATTGTGAGGGAGACACTGTATTTCATTCTGTCTTCATCAAAATTAATGTAGCACAGGAATCACATCATTAAAATCAGCATTTTATACCAGTGAGAGAGGTGGAAGAAGGGTGAAAACCAGAAAGCATACTCTGGTGTGTGCAGATAACCCCATGTGGGTTTTTCCCCAAGAAGTTTTATGAGTAAGTGACCTCTAAATCTATTTCTGATTTTACCAACATTTAATTAATGTTTTGGGGCAACAAATTGTTGCCAGCTTCTAATACTACTGTATATTCTTGGTCAGGAAATTCGAAGAGAAAAGGTCTTTATCTGACAGCTGGCCTTTACATGCAAATGACATAGGGGCTGAATTTTGCTCAGTTTCTAATGTTGCAGCAGAGGTGAATCACAACCAAGCATTTCTCATTAGTTTCAGACTATTTCATGCTTTCCTTGCTTTATTACTCTTTTTACATTCTCTTAATACAATAGCTGAGAAAAGAGTTGAAAATTTGTCCCATTTTTCCCCCCATCATTGGGTATACTTTACAAGGAGAATTTTAAACTGTGCAATGATTTATTCCTCAGTTAAGATTTAAGAACTGGATAGTCTTCATAAAGCAATGATTGGTGAAGTTTTCATATAATAGCTTTGCAGCTAATGGTTTCTGACAATGACACTTTGCAGAAAGGGACAACTAGAACAAGTAAAAGAAATATGGGAAAACAGCGCTATGAGTGTTCAGGTTAGGTTGATGGCCAGCTTTATACCAAGGCAAAAGCTGAAACATCGTAACACAAGAAGAACTCACTCCTATCCCCTAAATATGTATATGCGCAATAGTCATTCGGACAAGATCCTGCCCCACAGACCACCTCCTTACACTTCATCAATATCTCCAAGCACCTTGAAAGTCTTGTCTTCTAGCTGGCTCAGAAACTCCAGGTGGAACAGAGCCAGCAGCCTTGTCTTGTGGTCCCTGTAGTGTGCTGAGGTAATCTTTGGCTTGTGGAAAGCCTGTTAGGAGCCAGTCCAATTTGGAGCAGGTGTAGAGTTGTTCTACTCTGTGCTCAAGAGTGCTCTGCTTCTGGGACCCAAGCCCCAGTAAAATTGACATAAAACTACCTCTATGTTCTTCTGGCCAGAAACGTAGGCAGTGAGAGCAAGGTACTAGATACGCATGTGAAGAGCTAGACAAGCACATATGAAAAATCAGAATCCCATTTGACACTCTAGGGAAAGGTTTTCTGAAAGAAGCATGAAAAATCACCAACAAATAACAGATAAAGATGTATAAGGATTTTCTGGGGAAAAAAAGGGTTCTGATATTTTGGAAAAACATCTGTCTACTTCAGGCATGGGCTAAAATGTGCCATAAATAAGGAGCAGAAGCTCTTGAAGGCTTGACCACTGCCATAGGTCTATTAGTATCTTGCACTCTCTCTGTGGAGGTAAACTTGTCACTTATTTCTAATCTTTCATCTTGTGTTAAAATTAGTTCATCTGGGAGAAGAGTTCACAGATATGAAGCACTGTATTATAGTCCATATTTTCTGGGGATTTGATCTTGACACTGTTTTAATTTGTTATTATAGCCTTGACACCTAAAAGACCTTACCATGCCTTCAGCATCCATAAAACTCTCTTAGCTTAACACTGAAAATCCCTTTCATGGTAGGCAATATAAAATATATAATTAAACTAGTTCCAAAGGTAAACATGACAGACTAAGGCTTGTGAATAGGATGCACTCTGGAAAGTGAAGGGAATTCAGTGAAGTCTTTTAAGTCAACATCATGAGCTAAAGCTCACTGAATCTGCACATGGAGACTAAAACTGTCAGAAAATTACTCCTGGTTTAGTAAGTCCTAAATATTTTTCATTGGGGTTTGGACTTCTAGGCAGTGAGTTCAACCTGTTGACAAAAGACTTGGTTTTCTTGGTAACTTTTCACAGACTTTTCCAAGGATAGCAGAAGTCCAAACGCCAAGGCTGAAACATAAACAACAATTTAGCCACATCTTAGTTGTGAATTACTGTCTCCACATAGGATTTAGCACACATTATTCAAAGTGTATTGGTGTTATTCTTCTATGTATTTTATATTAATGCTTCTGAATGTTTCCCTATTTATGATCCCAAAAAGATGGGAGAAGGGATATCTTGATTAGTTATTTGGGTTTTCATGTATGGAGAGCTGAGATGAAAAAATGTAGGAGTCAGAATAAAAATCTAGATGAAGCTGGCAGGGTAGCTTTTATATAT